TTTCATTATCATGTATGACAATCCCTCTAGCGTTTTCCTTCATATCATATCATTATCATAACTTTTCATGTAATTTCAGGATTGTGTATCATGTCAAAACATCTTATTGCATGTCGTGTGTATCATATCATAAGCATATCGTGTCTCCCAACTTATCATGTCGTACCGTACATGTATCATATCATAAAGCATATGACACGTATCATATCTTCAAACGCATCGCACCATCATATATATTATGTCATTTACATATCATATCATAACATATATATATCATTCACGTATCATATCTCAAACATATCGTCAAATATATCACATCATTTCATAAACATTTCACACATATCAAGCATATGACACGTGTAAAACCACGGGGCACGTGTCATCATACAACATAAATTTCTAATCATGCGGATAGAAAGATCACTTACTTGGTTGTCCTGGGTCGAACCAACTACGAATTCTTGATGCTAGTCTAAAGCTGTTCTCTGAAATTTAATTTTATCTAGAAGTTCAACATCATAGATTAGAATTATACTATTAGAATTGGCTCACCTAGTTTTGCATAAAATAATTTAAACTTACCCTTAATAATTTAAACTAGGTAAGCTTCATCATGCATAAATACTTTAAACTTAACTCCAAAAATTTAAACTAGCTTAGCCTAATTATGCATAATACTTTAAGCACCCAAGCACTAATTTCACAAAATTTTATCCTCCAACACAGCATGATATTGGTACTAGCAGTACAAAACGACACTATACGACAAATGAGATCTAGCACATTCTTTTTCGCATACAGAAGCATATAATTGCGCATTTATTCCACATTTCTAGATATAGGTCATGTTAAGCTATCTCTAGGGTCAACTTGTTCTAGCATACATGCGAATCCAAGCAATCCCTACCAGTGTTATTTTCTAGGAGTCTGTGTGATTACTTACAAGTCTGACGCGTATCTTGTTGAGCTTTGATCTTTAGTCGAATAGTAGTCCAAAAATTCCAAATTTCCTCTAGAGATACCAAATGAACATTAAAATAAGGTTACTATCAAAACCAGGATGAAAAACTGACAAACAGACATTGAACAAGCTTGAAATAGGGTCCCATGTGCAGTTAGCTCGGGCAGGCCCTCCTTAGAGCCTGAGCAGATGCAACCTTTACCTTGGAATAATATCTAATTGATCTCAAGACTGTGTTTAAAAATTCAAGAAAATATATCATATGACTAAGGCTAAAACCTTGGGGCAATTGTCTACTAGTGTGAAAATTGAATAATTTTCATGAGTAGGACATTGTCATAAATTAAAAATTCAAAAAGATGTAAGGGAAGATTAATTTAGAGGCTTTAAAAACTTTTAGGCTTTAATTATTTAGAGTTTTCTTTTTGAAGGAAATTAAATAAAATATTATAGTGAATTTATGAAAAAGAATATTATATTATATTATATTATGGTAAACATTGTCATAAATGTGATCAAAACGATTGTCCAAAGGAAGTCATGCCGTCGTTATATATTTAATGCCAACCCAAATACTATATTTAGACAAACATAAACACAACATTCTATATCCTTTTTTGGAAATTCCGTCTAAATTAATTACACACTAAATGATTAAAAATATCTTTTCAATTTTAATAAAAATATATATATTCTCACTTTTAAAATTTTTAAAAAATATATATTAAAAATATCTTTAAAACTTAAAATAAAATAAAAAATCAAAATGTCTTAATATTAATATTTTGTTTTAAAAATACCATAAACTTTCGAAAGGATTTCCGTTAACAATGAGAAATAAAATTGGAATTGAACGTGTGTATTCTCATTAATATTCATAGCTTTTAAATATGATACAAGCTACCAACTAATACCTACCGATAAGAAAATATAAACTAATTAAATATTAAAAATAAAATAAAATAAAATATACCACCATGGAAAGAATATTATGATATAATATCTTAGATATATTTCATAAGTAATATATTCTCCAAATATTATATTTCAGTAGAGACATCGAGAAGGAAGGTGCACATTATTGGTATATAGTAGGATCGCTCTCATTCGAATGTGGTTTTAGTTTATTTACATGCTCTTTTTTACTCGCATGTCTCACGTATGATCAACTACCAAATATATGAATTATTTTTATCAATAAAATACCTGATATTTGAAAATTGGAATATGGATTAAAATCAAAACAGCTGCAAATAATGCAAACAAATAAAATGTTAAACATCCATTAAACATAATTTCAAAGTATTAAAATTTGAGAAAAGGATGATTACGTTTTAAATAAAACTTACGTTGACACGATTGCACTAATATCCACAGCTGCCCACGTTTATGATTTTCTCCTTGCTTTGTCTGACCAACATTGCTATTCTTTTGCCCACTCTTTAGCCTCCGCTGTCTGTCTATTGTCTCAACCTTACTAAAAAGTGTGTGACTTGCATGGGAATAGAAAAGGTGGCATCTATCCAGACAGGTGAGAGTCAAGATAAATAAGTGTCATGATATGAGTGAGGAAGGTTGTGCATCACCTAACACATCAAGAAGAGTATGTGTTAAAATCAAGTTGAGGCATAAGTAAAGTTGGAGATAACGAGGCGACATGAGTGTCAAAGATAAGCTTGGAGAGGGCCGAGTAGGGCCCTAGACCATAATCTCATACGTCTGAATTTTGATATAAGTTTCGATGACATCTTTGGAGTTAAGTCCATCTATATGAAGCATGAAAACTCACCAAATTTGATGTGAATCAGATACCCGACGGACACTCCACGTGGTCATATGACTGCTTGCCAAAATCACGTCTACTCTAAAAAAAAATTAGGAATGTCTAAAAATGTACTCTAGGGTAGGCATGGTGTTTAGCACCCTTGGGCCTTGTGGCCTAAGTGAGCTACCTCAAGGTACATATGTGTGTCACGACGTGGGCGAATGTTACAAGACGAGCATCTTGAGCGACTTCTTTTAAAATGGGTCTGTCAAGGACAATTTTGAACAGCGTGGGTGTGTCGATATTGTGACCTAGACCATGTGTCGAAGGTTGGTATATGCACCTACTATTCAATACGGAGTCTATAAATAACATGACACGGACACAAGAGAGTTCATGTCTCAATAAGAATCTAAATGGATGGATGTTCGTGATGTCCTAACAAGATGAGCTATACATGGGTCGATTCCAATAGACATGTTCAAGCAAACTACGATAGTTGTCTTGAAACACGAGATGACATCATGATACATGAATTGGTCAATGGAAACCAAGATGATGACTGAGATGTGACGTTGCATCTAAGAGATCTTGACGTAGAGGAGAGACAAAATCGAGCGGAATGATTTAGTCTAATGTATAGGGAAGTTGGCTCTAGGCACATACAATTGAACATGACTCACCCTCCCCAATTTTTATTACAAAATAAAATCAGTAAAATATGGTTGTGTCATAATAATTGTTTATATGAATCCAAAAAATTGCATGCCCTAATTTCAATATATATCAATTTGTTTGAAATTATTTTTATAATCTCTGGACATAAACTTCTCAATTACCTAATTTAAATTCAAATACTAAATATTTTAAAATTTACTTCAAAAAAGTGAAACAAAACAAAACAATTTATTATTTCTCTTTAAATATTAAATTAATTTAAATTTTAATACAAATAGGAAAGAAATAATTATGAATAAAGAATCTTCAACGGGTTTAAGAGCTTTAAATTATATAAAAGAAAACCACGTGTATTGCACGTACAAGTTGTTTGTATAGGATATCCCTACTCACATATTTCCATATGAGTAAATCAGATCAAATCGTTTATAACAATTCCAAAATGAGACGTACCAATAATATTATTAGAATAACGACAATTTTTTATACAATCAATAATATTAAATTATAAATAAAATAATTAAAATTATTATTCAAAATTAAATAATTAATTACCTCATAGATTCCAACAAAGTGTATATATATATTTTGTGTTTTTATGATCCACTTGACAATCTTGTATTTAAATCCATACTTTTTATTTTTATTTTTGTCCTCTCTCCCGACTTGATTGATGAAAGTAAACACAATAAATGAATCCACACAATACACATCCCCTACATAGTTTTTTTTTTTCCTTAAATTCTTAGAATTCAATTTGATCCTAATAATCACAAAATACTAAATTTGAAGATTTGGTTCAGGAATATTTTTAATATATTCTCTGCTTCGATTCATGAATCTATTAGATTCTTTTGATTCATCTCCCATATTGAAACATTCTCTCGTATTGGTACATGAATCATCTCGATTCATGTATGAACGTTAGTGTTGCTCTAGTTCATGTATGAGAATTAATATTGTTTTGAAACGTGGAGTCATTGGGAGGAATTTTGTAAGTGAGATTGTGTAGTGTGAAAGGATGGGAAATATACTTATAAACACTTTGATTATAGTAATTGGCTACCTACCAATCGTGGATGTAGGAGAATTTATTTTCTCTTAATTACTTTAAGTGTTTTTTGTTGATTTATGTTTTTGGGTGTGAGTGCAATAAATCTTGTTTTCACCTCGATTACAACATATACATTTTTAGAATTTAGCTTCCAATAAATTATTCAATAAAGTCACTAAAACAAAATAATATAATTTGTTATTTCACTTTATAAATTAAATTAATTTAAATTCTAATACAATTAGGGAAGAAATAATTATTGAATGAAGAATCTCCAAAGGGTTTAATATTTTAAAATCATATAAAGGAATAAGAAAATAAAAGATAAAAAGAAAAGCACGTGGACTGCACGTGCAAGTCATTTTGGTGCAATCCACGAGGGCACGGGCAGGCCACGGTGATGGCATCCACGTCCACGTTCTGTCCACACAGTTGGCATCATCAAACTCGTCCATGCCGCACGCTCGCCTTCTTCAATTGTTTCAAAATATCTCCCAATTTGGTCAATTCCCATTCCACGTCCTCTTGCTTAACCGCCACGCTGTCTTCGTACTACGGTATATCCCCGTCACACCGTTCCATTCCGTTTCGTCTCGAGCTCACTTAGTGGCCCATCTTTTGGCGTTTGCTCTTGCTTGGGGGCTTTGAACTTTAATCGAGCACGCAATTCTTGGAGGGTGAGAGTTTGATTGGAACCCCTTTGTTGGGGACTGAAATTTTTCATCCTTTCTGTGAAGATTAATTTCGGTGTTCTTTCTTTTTCTTTGGTTAATTGGGTCTTGAAATTCTGAAAAGGATTGGTGGAAAAGAAAGTTTGAGTGCGCTAGCTACCGTCGGTTTCTTTCTTTATCTTCGATAAAGCTTTTTGGAAGGGGATTTTTGGGCAAAAATACTCAAAACCCAGGTTCGAGAAGCGAAAGCTCTGTAATCCACTCAATATTTCGGTTAATTATCCAAGTATGCATCCCGATGATCAGCGTTGGCAGCCGTTGTTGGAGGAGGAAGATGAAGAAACTGCTTACAATTTAACGGAGAAGGTTGTGGTTGTTGGGATCGACGAAGCGGAGTCCGATTTGGATGTGGGTTTGCCGCCGTTTTCATGGAGGAAGCTCTGGCTGTTCACGGGGCCTGGGTTTTTGATGAGTATAGCGTTTTTAGACCCTGGGAATTTGGAGTCCAATCTTCAGGCTGGTGCTATAGCTGGGTATTCTTTGTTGTGGCTTCTGTTGTGGGCTACAGCCATGGGGCTTTTGATCCAGTTGCTCTCGGCCAGGCTTGGTGTTGCCACTGGCAAGCACTTGGCCGAGCTTTGTAGAGAAGAGTACCCGTCTTGGGCGAGAATTTTGCTGTGGGTCATGGCAGAGTTAGCCCTCATTGGGGCTGATATACAGGAAGTTATTGGGAGTGCTATTGCTATTAAGATTTTGAGTAATGGGGCTTTGCCTCTTTGGGCTGGAGTTATAATCACTGCTTTTGATTGGTAATTTTGATTCAAATTGAGTTTGTTGTGTATGATTATGTGTTTCCTTAATTGAATGTGTTTTTTGTGGATTCTTGTCAGTTTTATCTTCCTGTTTCTTGAGAACTATGGTGTGAGGAAACTTGAGGCTGTTTTTGCTGTTCTTATTGCTACTATGGCACTCTCATTTGCTTGGATTTTTGGTGAAACTAAGCCAGATGGGAAGGAGCTTCTATTGGGTGAGGTTCTTTTTTTGTTCTTGGTCTTTCATTATGTTTGGTATGTAAGTTTTCTGGTCAATATTGTGTTAGCCACTTACACAATGGCCAACAATGGATGTTCTTTACAGGTATTTTGATTCCAAAACTTAGCTCCAAGACAATTAAACAGGCAGTAGCTGTTGTGGGGTGTATCATTATGCCTCATAATGTGTTTCTTCACTCCGCTCTCGTGCAGTCACGAGACGTCAATCCGAGCAAGAAAGGGCGGGTTCGAGAAGCTCTTAGATACTATTCCATTGAGTCCACTCTTGCTCTTTTTGTGTCCTTCATCATCAACTTGTTTGTTACAACTGTATTTGCTAAAGCTTTCTATGGCACAGACATAGCTAGTAGCATTGGTCTTGTAAATGCAGGGCAATATCTTCAAGATAAATATGGTGGAGGGCTCTTCCCCATTTTGTATATCTGGGCTATTGGTTTGTTAGCTGCTGGCCAAAGTAGCACCATCACTGGTACCTATGCAGGACAGTTTATCATGGGTGGCTTCTTGAACTTGAAGTTGAAAAAATGGCTCAGAGCTTTGATTACTCGAAGCTTTGCGATTGTGCCAACTATGATTGTCGCTCTCGTGTTCGAAACTTCTGATTCGATGGTCGATGTTCTTAATGAATGGCTCAATGTCCTTCAGTCAATTCAGATACCCTTTGCTCTGATTCCTCTTCTCTGTTTGGCTTCCAAGGAACATCTAATGGGCAGTTTCAGAATTGGCCCCATTTTAAAGGTATGTGTATGATGTTCACTGTTCTACGTATATGTTATACAGCTCACTGCAAATCATTCAAATCAAATGATGCATCAATTACTTGGTCACATCTTTGTTTTTCTTTTTGGTTTGCTGGGAATGTTTAGATTAGTTACTAGGCACCTTGCATCTTAGGTTCATGTTTTAGGGTCATAGATGGTTCCACATTGGTTGGAGGGGAGAACGAAACATTTTTTATAAGGGTGTGGAAACCTCTTCTTAGTAGATGCGTTTTAAAAACCTTGAGGGGAAGCCCGAAAGGAAAAGCCCAAAGAGGACAATATCTGCCAGCGGTGGGTTTGGGCGGTTACAAATGGCATGAGAGCCAGACACTGGGCGATGTATCAACGATAAGGTTGAGCCTCGAAGGGGGGATTAGGGGTCCCACATCGACTAGAGAAAGAAACGAGTGCCAGCGAGGACGCTGGGCCCGAAGAGGGTGGATTGTGCAATCCCACATTGGTTGGGGAGGAGAACGAAGCATTCTTTTTAAGAGTGTGGAAACCTCTCCATGAGGGAAAACCTAGAAGGGAAAGCTTAAAGAGGACAATATCTGCTAGCGGTGAGCTTGTTAACGATATTCTTGAATCTATCTTAAATCCAGAAGTTTATACCTTGCTGTAGTTGGTGCTTTCGGTCTAAGATCATTTAAACCTCCCTGTTGTACCATAAATTGTTTGGAAACAAATAAAAATTGTTGTTCAAGAACTCACATGCCTTTCTGCGCCTTCAGCTGTCCTCTTGGCTAGTGGCAGTCTTGGTGATGGCCATCAACGGGTATCTTTTGGTGAGCTTCTTCTCATCAGAAGTGAACGGAGTAATCGTTGCCATTTTCGTGTTCGTCTTCATCGCTGCATATCTCTCCTTTGTCGTTTACCTCGTCTATCGAAGCATCTCGTTTTCAAGTTGGCACAGCTTCATTAACCGGAAGACTTCCACGGACAACGAAAACTGAGTGATCATTAGATTTCAGATCGAAAATTGTCGAATACTTGCATATTCCTTGAGCATCTGTTAGAACACATCCCAGGAGTAACATATCAATATGATTTGACATGTTTTTCTTTGAGAAAATTTCACTTTTTCTGTAGACTGTAAAGTTTATGCAGTCTTGTTAGTCTTAGGATATATTAATGTCATTCAGGTGTTGTGAACTCTCTTGGCACTGTTAATCATATTTACATCACTCAGTGCTGATCTGATACTGAAACCCGACAGCGAATCATTAAAGTATGTTCATTTTATACGGTCAATTGATCTGATTGAGTATTAAGATTTTCCATGGAGGTTACTTAGAAGTCAAAGTGACGCTCCAGTTTGCTATCAGATAATGTTCTTGAATGTAAGATAAGCTCTATGGTTTTGACATTTATTATGGTGTACATTCAATTCGGCAACCTGACAACTCAGACCAACCCAACTCGAACTATAAGGGTTGAGTTAGGTTGGATTAGCATTTCGGGTAGGGGTTGGGTTCGTTGTTCAGAACTCGAACTGAATTGGTTCGGTTTCGGGTTCATAGGTAAACCTTCGGGTTGACTCGAGAAAAATAAAAATATATAAAATATATTAAGAATATTAATGTATTAATAGGTTGGAAGGATACTCACATCCAATTAGACTCTTACTAAATGTATATTTTTAATGGCCACCTTTCATTTATGTTTTTAATGTTTCGTATTAAATCATTTTTTTTTATTTTTTATTTTGTCATTTCTTCCCTATAGCATAGATTTTTATTATACGGTAAGGAAATAGTTGTGAGTGATCAAATTGTAAATCTACCTTATAGAGTTTATGGTGTGTTCCTACAAAACTCAAATACTTGTACCGGTTGGATCATGAGCCGTGCAAAGAATTAAATTTGCTCCAGTTTGATCCTAAGCTATGTAAAGAATTGAGTTTGCTTCTGAACTCATAAAAAGAACGGTGTAGCGGTTGAGCTCTGATACAAAGAAAGATCGAGAAAGGTTTATTCAAATTTACAGGAGTAGGTTATAAAACTAAGGTGTTATATTTTAAAATTTAAATTAATCATGCTTAAATATTGTTAAAACCCTATTCACACCCTTCTATGGTTGTCATACAAATCCAACACTATGCACACATAGAAAAGTGACGAAAATGATGTCGAGAAGAGAGAGAAATTGTAACACTCGGAGCCCAATAGGTACAATTCGCACTATCTTTATGACTAGCACCTTTTTAACCATGGTGAGTTTCTAGATTTTATTGTAGGTTTTAGAGCCTGATTTTTAAATCGGTGCAGAAGAAAGAAATGCTCGGGATGCATAAAGGAACTCAATTCTAGAGAGAGAGAGAGAAAGAGAAAGGAGTTAGGGTTTTTAAGAAGAGGAAGAAGGAGGAGGGAGAAACGCCCAAGCCCGAACTGAAACACTCTCAATCTTAGATCTCCTACTAGAGCTACTCAGAGTATCAGTGAAGTGGTCTAAGCGTTGGATCGTTTGTTTTCGGAAAGAAACGGGCAAGAACTCGAGGTAAAACCACGACCTCTTTTGTTTCGAAATTTCACTATAGATCTGGGAATTTTAGATGACCTAGATCTTAATTAATAATCTAGTTGCAATACTTTAGGTGAGGAGTCTTGCAAGTTTTAAGAGGAAATGCGGCCAAAATCGCTTCGGAAAACAAACTCAAGAATTGTCCAACTTTGATAAGAAACTGAATTTTTTTCTTGATGTACGATTTCATTTATTAAGTGCTATGAGTATAAAAAAAATGCAATAAAAATATATCTGGATAGATGGACTTGAGATATTGAACTCTCATGAAGGAATCGATTAAATTCGAGTTACGGATTGGAAGATAGAAAAATCCAAAATAAATAGGTTGATATAGAATTTGACTGGAATCTGGATGAACTTAGGCAATCGGCGACGGACACGGGCCGCCGGAAAGGGAGGACATGCATTGAGCAAGCGGTGGAGAGACATGTCTGGCGCCTCCGCTGACACGCGTCCGAGGTTGCCCAAAAACCCGAACCGAACCCCGACCCGTGCTCCGTGAAGCAACCCGACGACCCGCGGTCCAATCCGAAACCCACCGCCAGTCCCTGTACGACACGTGTCGTGGCCAAAAAAAATTCGAGGGGTAAGCTACGTCCGTTGGGGTTTGAAATACGCCTCTGCCCGCCTGTTGCCCCAACTGACTGCGCATACACCTTGCGCGTGAAGCCCGCGCGTAGGGGGGAGTGTGTTGGCATGTGGGAGTTCCCCTACAAGCATGTGCAGGCACGTGAGTGCCCTGTTTTCACCCGTTTTTCGTCCCGATTCTAGTCCTAATCCTATTTTACTGTGAACGAGGTCACTGCATAGAAAATTCGTAATTTCGAACTCTGTACGACTATAAATCAAGCTTGAGAAGGCACGCAACATACGGTAAGTAACCATACAGAATTAGGAAATTAAATATATATCTGTTGGATGTATGCTAGAGCAAATTACTCCTAAGTGGCTAGATCTGATAATCCTCTGTACTTAGGAAATTAAATATATATAAGTTGGACTTGCTGCCCTAATGAGATTTCATACTCGATGTTTGTATGCTTGCTGAATTATCTTATTATTGCTTTTATCTGTCATAATATGTTGGCGGACGGAGGAAATTGTGTATCTGCACTCCCGGTGTTGATGGATGTTATTGTCCCGTTGAGCTTGTATGACTATATACATTGTTAATCATATTTAAACTCCAGTTGAATGATGGTGTGAACATATGATATGAATGATAAGCAGTAGTGTTGTGTTATGCCTAGGCTATACTCTTGCCAGTATTGAGAAGGGTTTAGATAGGGGACCCTCCTGATGTTATGGTCAGTGGTGTCATGAGAGACACATAGAGAGACCCTTTAACCTTAGACTGTTATGGACCTAGAAGTCTTGAATGAGTGAATTTGCTAGCCAAACCACTAACTCTATGAGAGCCCTACATTGGTTGGGGAGGAGAACGAAACACCTTTTATAATTTATAAGAACCTTCCCCTAGCAGACGAGTTTTAAAGTCTTGAGAGGAAATCCAAAAGGAAAAACCCTGTCTCCACCCCGCAAAAAATAAATGGAGAATTTCGAAAGGATGGGGATGAGGAAGGCTTCCCTGTCTCCACCCCGCCTTGTAGACATCTTTAATACCAAAGTTACTTCTCCTTTCAAAACCTATCCAAAAAATAATTCAATGTTTTTTAGTCGTAAATATCTAATACGACAACAACGTCATGCTTTACCTAAATCCTAAACCCTAAACCCTAAAATATATCAATAATTTAAGATAAGATGATATTTTAAAAAGTCTCATTTCGTTATCAAATGCTTGGATTGAGTTAAGTGGGGCAATATCTTCCATCTATATATATTATCCCTTTTAAGAGAGTTGAACCTTATCTATATCCAAACATCCAAATTCCCACCTCGGAAACTCCATGGATATTCTCTTGCTTTCTATTTCTCTCTTCCTATTTACTCTTCTCTTTGCCTCCAATTTTGTGCTGAAACCACATCGCTTGAAACTCCCACCAACCCCTCTCTTATGTCTTCCACTAATAGGCCATCTCCATCTCCTCAACCATCCCATCCATCGAACACTCACCAACCTTTCTCAAAAATACGGCCATGTCTTCTCTCTCCGATTTGGTTCCCGTCTCGTTATTGTCATTTCTTCTCCTTCTGCCGTACAAGAATGCTTCACAAAGAACGATATTGCTCTTGCAAATCGCCCATTGTTGAACTCTGGAAAGTACCTAGACTACAACTATACCGTCATGTCAGTCTCCCCTTACGGTGAACATTGGAGAAACCTCCGCCGGATTGTCTCCCTTGAGATCTTCTCAACAAATCGCCTCAATTTTTTCTTGGGCGTTCGGGGAGAGGAAATCAAATGTTTGCTATGTAAATTATGTGGGAATTTATTGGAAGATCGATTTAGGGTCGTGGAATTGGAGCCCATGTTGCTTGATCTTATGTTCAATATTGTTATGAGAATGTTGGCTGGGAAGAAGTCTTTTGAAGGACATTCTTACAAGTTTAAAGAAATGGTGACACATATTATGGCTCATAGTGGAGCAACCAATCCAGCAGACTTCATACCCTTATGGGGTTTCATTGATCCAACCGGTTTTGGGAAGAGGGGAAAGAAGCTTGCAAAGACATCTGATGAACTCCTTCAAGAGTTACTCGATGAAATTCGAGATAAAGAAGATGGAGGGAACACTATGATTCATCGTTTACTTAGCTTGCAGAATACCGAGCCTGAATATTATAGCGATCAAATTATCAAAGGATTGATTCAAGTATGATTTCTTTTTAATTTATTGGGTTTGATGTATTAGAAATAACGACTCTTTACAATGTTATGATGTTGTCCACTATATTAGCCAATGTGGGATTCCCTTCCAACAATACTCTCCTCGACCAAAGTACATCATAGAGCCTCCTCTAAGGCCTACAGAGCCCTCGAACAGCCTCTCCTTAATCGAGGCTCGAGACTACACCTTCTAGGCTCACAACTTCTTTATACGACATTTGAGAATTCTATTGACATGACTAAGTTAAGGGCATGACTCTAATACCATATTAAAAGGTAGGATAGTCATACCATGTTAAAAGGTATGATATTGTTCACTCTGTAAATAAGCTCTCGTGTCTTTGTCTTGTGTTTCCCCAAAAGGCCTTAGACCAATGGAGATGTATTCTTTACTTATTATCTCATGATTATCTCATAAATTAGCCAAGGTAGGACTCCCTCCCAACAATCTTCAACATTATGAAAGTGTTTGGTTGTTGCAGGATATATTATTAGCCGGGATTGACACGTTAGTTGTGACATTGGAGTGGGCATTATCTCAATTGCTCAACAATCCAGAGGTGTTGGAGAAAGCAAGAGCTGAGATAGACAGTTCGATTGGGTACGAGCGTTTAGTTAACGAAGCTGATCTGCCGAGTTTGAGTTATGTTCAAGGAATAATCTCTGAGACTTTAAGGCTTCACCCAGCTGCTCCTCTTCTTTTGCCGCATTGTGCATCTGAAGAATGCAAAATAGAAGGATATGATGTTCCTCGTGATACGATAATATTGATCAATGCTTGGGCTATGCATAGAGACCCGAATCTATGGGAAGATGCTACCAGCTTTAAACCTGAAAGGCATGCAAATGGGATGAAGAATGGAGCAGAGTCATACAAACTGATACCATTTGGGTTGGGGAGGAGAGCTTGTCCTGGTTTGGGAATGGCGCAACGAGTGGCTGGCTTGACTTTAGCATCGTTGATACAAGGGTTTGAATGGGAAAGATTGAACAACTCGTTAGTTGACATGAGTGAAGGTAAAGGGATTACAATGCCCAAAGCTCAACCCTTGGTGGCTAAGTGTAAACCACGCCCCATCATGAAACTCGTTTATGAATCTGGCAATTGACATCGGCTGAAACAAAGAAAATATGTTATCACTAGCCGACTCCACTCTTTGAATAAAGTGCATCTCTACCCTATAACTCAAACATCCTCTTATTCTTAAAGTGACATTCATTGACGTAGTAAAGTGACATTTATTATCTAGCATGTCTGTAATATCACTCTTCCTTGTTGAACTTGGCCCTTATTTTAAAAAATACCCTTACATAATTTGAATTAGTTTGACTAAAACATATGATAGTTTACAATCTCATTAATATTTTTTGGTTCAATTTGAGAAGCAAGCAATTTTATTAAATAAATTAATAGATTAAGAGTTTCTACAAAATCAACCATAAGACATAACTCCATTTTTTATAAATTTCTTTAGACTCATTTGAATCATCAATTTCAGAAGCAAAAGCAATATTATTAAAGAAATTAATAGATTAACGAGTTTCTACATAATCAACAAAAATTGAGATAAGACATAACTCCATTCTTTATAAATTTCTTTAGAATCATTTGAATCATTATTACAATATTTATCAATTATTATAGGCATAGATTCTTCGATATTGAAAACTTTATAAACTTTACTAATAGACGAATAACCAAGAAAAATGCAAAGTCTCTATTTGTCAAGTCGAATGATATTTATCATTCATAGACAATCATTTAAATTAATACACATTATTATCTCTATTTCCAACCAACAAAATTTTTCTATCACTACCATTTTTAATTATGCAATTATTTTTATCAAATACAACTTTAAAACCTTTACCACATAATTTATAAATATGAAGCACATTTTCAATGGGAGTAAAGATTCATTACCTATAGTACTTTTACAAATTATTTTATCCTTTTTCGTGTGTTTTGAGCAACCACTATTCCAGTACTACTTATTTTTCTTGAAATTTCTCAAACAAATCTAGAAACAAAACTATTCAAGATTGATCTTTTGTACTCACACTTGTTTGGATCCTTGAAAATTAGCACTCACAAATTTAGGAATCTATTTTATGTTTGCATTTATATTAAAGACATTCTATTTCCATAAATAACGAGAATTTTTAGGTCCAAACTTGCCACATAAGAAACAAATAATCTTTAGGTCTCTCGTCGTTCCTCAGTCCAGATCCCAACTACCTCGAGTCTCTGTCCACCTCTTCTTCACACCCACGACGTTGTAATACTCTTATGCACCTATTAATGTGAGTTTTACGATGTTACAGTTTCTCCTTAACCACATTCTCGCTGGCCATGTTTTTAAACGGTCATACAGTCTCTAAACACGATAAAGCTTACCATTGGAATACTTGGAGTCGCTGACCATTTCTTGAGTCATTCCCTCAAAGTTCGCCAATGTTTTACTCAGATGAAAAAAACTATCTACCGTTGCCTTCTCCTCTGCTTTCCAATGCTCTCAACAGATAAGGGAATGACTTGTGCTATTCTGAGAGGCTTCTTGTAGAGGTGTGGGTAGTTGGGGATGCGAGATCTGTAGTGCTCCACAAGCATGTAATCTAAACTACATAGAATTGCAAAGAAATTTAGCCCTTAATTAAAGTAAAGCAAATATGCTCTTTTTACTACATTTTCCAAGTCTATCTTTACAAAGATAACATACATGTCTTTATATACCCTCAAAATGAAACCTTTGACCTTCATGAGATATTTCAAGAGTTTGTAACCATCGTGCTTAGTTAGCATAATTGGTGACTATGTAAATGTAATCTAAAAATAAGTAAAAAAACTTAAAACTTAAAATACATTCATCAAACATCATAAATCTAGTTTTCAATTATCCATCATAAATTTGTTAACATATAAGAATAAATAAAGTCTCACTTGAAGTATCTCGAAGACTTTGATGCATAAATGAAGCTTGATTCTTCTTCATTTAACATTAATATTGCATGATTGAGATGATTGAGATGTCTTGATTCATATCAACAACCCTTGGAATGATCAGGACTGAAGTGGCGGATCTAAGCGCTAGATTAAACCTCACCATGAGAGTAGTAGGGAACCAAACCCCAACTGGGGGTGTACCACAGTTTAACAAGATAAAGGTTTCAGTCCAAGCCCTTCTGTAGGGTTCAATATGTCAAGGTTGTAACGACCCTAGATTTCTACTTAACCTAAAGTCACTACTATATACATATCATTATCATTTTATGCGAAAATAATCATTTAAAACTTTATTATAAAACATTTTCGTGGACTTAGAAGGTCCTTAAAATACTTTAACAAAAATTAAAATAAAATAAACAGAAATGTTAGATACTAACCTATACTCTACAAAATTAAATGCAAACTAACACAAACTAAACTATAGTCTATGAAATTAAATGCAAACTACCCTATGCATGTTTCATGGTCTCCTGAGATGTGATGTCACCGTCAGCCGTACAGGGGAGCCTTTCCTTTACCTGAAAAATAAGAGTAGCACATGACTTGAATATTTTAAGAGCTACTTCGTATGTGGCCCCACTATTGGGGTTAGATGCAAGCACATACAATCATGAGTAGGACCCATCATTTTAGTCAATATTCCCTTAAACGACTATCCTAAGCAGGTAATTGGATGTGTATTTGCAATTCTACACATGACCCACACGTACGAGTATGGCCTTACCAGTCGACTCGTACATCTCTTGGACCCCTTTCTTGGTCGGGCTAGCATTTTCTAGAGCTATTGTCGAATACCCCATAGGAATAATGGTTGTTGCAGCATTATGATAAACATAATGATCGTTTTCCTGTCTCGTAACGTACACATCCATACAATCATAAAAAAAGGACATTCCCCGATGCATGAACACAGAATGATGCATGAGGTCTCAACATTTTCATTCATTATTATGTAAAAAAAACCCTTCTATTTTCCTTCATATCATATAATTTTTATCATAACTTTTCATACATATATCGGGATTGTCCATCATGTCCAAACATCATATTGCATATCATACATTTTATCATGTCAAACATGTGTTACATCATAAACATATCGTGTCTTCCAACATATCATATCATAAAGCATGTCACAATTTGCATGGTATGATCAATCATATTACATAATAACATATATCATACATTTACATATCATATCAGAAACATGTTTTTAAGCTTACCATATCATAACATATATCATATCATCACATATCATATTGTAAATATATCATTTCATAACCTTTCACATATAACAAGCATATGATGGGTGCAAAGTCACAGGGCACGTGTCATAAAAAATGATACAATTTCTAACAGAACCGATAGTAAGGCCACATACTTGATTGACCTCTGTTGACGTTCTCCCTAAAATAATTACTTGAACATATCTCTTGAATTTTATTTCTGAGCGTTGTTGGAGATATTTCCTATAGAACATTTGCTCAATTATCTTAATAACTCTAATTTCATTATCTAAGATAACTTGAATTGAGACATTTAGCATCCTAATGACCTTAGTTGCCTTTAGTACGGTCGAAATCAGCTTCGTGATGGTTGAAAAGGTGAAAACGCTGAAAGTTTCCTTATATCGAGCCGAGAAGTTGTGTTTTGAGCTATCAGAGCCATCGAGCCAAAGTTGAGTTGAGTCGACTGAGCTACATAAGCTAAAGGAGTCGGCACATACGCAATACGTGTCACTAGGAGAAGGTGACGCATGTGCAGGTCGAAACTGGGTCGAGGCATGGGTTATTGAGTCAGCTACTGTACGCATGCGGTCGTGAGTTTGTTAGGTTAAAGGTGTTAGGTGTTTGGACAAAGGGTGTAGGCGTTTGGGCCAAGACGGTAGGTGGGTTGGTGTAGCGCCCAAGTTTAAAAAAAAAACACTCAAGGTTAACATAGGGGCAAAATAGTCATTCTGCCCTACTATTACTTTTGAGGGGTTTGATTGGTTGGGTCATAAGAAGAAAGAGAAAGAAAGGAGAGAGGAGAAAGAAGAAAGAAAAGAGATTAGGGTTTTGAGGTTAGAGGAGAAGATCTGACCAAAGATTGATGTTGGAGGTCTGAGAATCCTCAACCTAGACCTTAAGTAGTCCGAGGCAAGGTGCTCTCACGAATTGCACCTTCCTATTTCGTCAAAAACGTCCAAGAACTTAAGGTTAGTACACGAATGTCTAGATCAAGATGTTTATCGAGATTTTCATGTGTTAGTGACATTTTTGTGTTGATCCTTGGACTTTTACAGTCAGTAGTGTGATCTTTGCAATTTTCGGACTGAAGGCGACCAAGATTTGCGTTCAAATTCGGAGTTTCAAGGAAACGTGATTTTTAGTAAGAACTCATGTTTTTCTCCAAATTCGAACTCAAATATTATGACCTATGATTATCAAAAAAAATATAAGAAAATCATATTGAGGGAGTAGAATGTGAGATCTACAATGTTCGTGTTGATTTGGATTACAAATTGGAAGATAAAAAAATCCAAAGAAAATAGATCGAAAATGCGAGAACACCTAACAATTTAAAAATTGAAACACACGCAGGAGAGAAAAGAAACACCAACACGTGTCGGCCGGCATACGGAGGAGCGCGGCAGAACCGACGAGCGACACGTGGTGACCGCCAGCTGGAGAGATGTGTCCCACATGCTAGCAGACGCATAGTAATGCGCGGATTCGAGTCAACTCGTGTTCGAATCAACGACCCACGTCACTCGACATGATCCATATCCGGCAACTAAATAGGATTGCATGAGTGGGAACACGCGCGTGGAAACCACGCGTAGTAACGCGTTAGTTGCACATGTTGGCATGTGAGTCATCGTTCTTCCTTACGTTTGGCCCCTGTTTGCTTGTCTTTCGCCCCGATTTCGGTACGGACCGTATTATTATGTGAAATAGGACCTGTTAAGGAAATTCCATAATTTTTGGAACCCTCTCCGTCAAGAAACTCAAGCTTGGGAAGGCACGCGTCAATTAAGTACGTAGCCATTTGGATTCCCATGAGTAGTACTTGTAGGAACTGCTAGGAATAAGCATGCATGCTATCATACCTATAAACTTAGCTAGCCAACCTAGCATATTGGCATGGAAATCATGGAAATGAATTAATTAAAGAAATCAATGGAATCTAGATATGCATGATT